CGATCTCGGCTCACCGCAACCTCCGCCTCCTGGGTTCAGGCAATTCTCCTGCCTCAGCCTCCTGAGTAGCTGGGATTACAGGCATGCGCCACCATGCCCAGCTAATTTTTTGTATTTTTAGTAGAGACGGGGTTTCACCATGTTGACCAGGATGGTCTCGATCTTTTGACCTCGTGATCCACCCGCCTCGGCCTCCCAAAGTGCTGGGATTACAGGCGTGAGCCACCGCGCCCGGCAGAGTTTTTCTTTTTTAAAAAAAAACGAGGTTAAAAAATTAGGTGAGAAATGATTCCCAAACTGCCTATTCATCCAAGTTTTAAGGATGAATATAAATGCATATCCAATGACATCTCACACTATAAACAGATTGTATGTTTTTAAACAACTTTTGATTAATTCATCAATTTCTACAACTTCAAAACAATCCCTGCCCTCATGGGCACACAAAGAAAGTCAAACAGCCCTACAGGGCATTACTGTGTGACACTGCACCAAACAGATGGCTTACACAGGACATATCAGAGGAGCAAGTAGGAGGGTTTATTGCAATAATATAAGCAAAAAAAGGGAACGGAAACTTAAAACATGAATTCTATTCCAAGTTCTGATACTGACTAGACTTATGATTTGGTAAATCTAATGAATCCCTCTAAATCTCTGCAGCCAGAACTGTAAAACTGAGAGAGGGGAGGAAGAGATAGGCTAACTGACCCTTAGGGATTCTTTAGCTACAACATTCCATGCTTCTAGCTTATTAAGGTGGTCACAGTGGAAATAAAAATGTGCAAGTAGAAGCAAAAGATGATGAGAAGGCACACTAACTGGAAATGTGTGCCGTAGGAGAAATAAATACTGATCCCCACACTCTAAGCTTGAAAGGCTGACTGAATGATGGCTCAACAGTCAAAACAAAGAAGCTGGAACGAGGGGATTTTAAACTACTGGCACTCACTCATAGTAGTTAGTATATTCTTTTCAATCGAAAATTGTGGGGTTGCAGTTGTCAAATTGTGAAATGAATATAAGCTCTTCCCTCTTCCCCTTTTGGAAGGATTTGTGTGAAGTAGCTATCTGCAATGAGTGGGGAGGGGAAACCAAGGTGGCCCAGCACAGGACAGTGCAATCTGAGTAGGTTAAGGAAGGCATTCACATAGGAAAAAAGTAGGCTTACAATGTCAGATCCCAAACAGAATGACAGAGAGACCATGAGGCGAGACAGCACGATGTCAGAGGCCAAGAGCAGCGAAGTGGACTTCCAAACAGAGTGTTGGGACAAATGCACGATGAGGGTTTCCTGGCAGGGGACAGCCCAGTGCAGGGTGTAAGAAGCCAAACAATGCAAGGAGCGTATTCCTTTAGAAAAAGGGCCTGCAATGGGGGGTCAGAGCCCAAGCAGGTTTAGGAGTGCATCTGTGGAAGGTACAGCCCAGCAGAGAACATTGGCAAACCCTTAGTGCAATGAGTACAGTATAAGTACAGGAGAAGGAGTAGCTGTGGTGATAAGAAACTATAAAAATGGATTAATTAAATATATATATATATAGCTCAATATGACATATTTAACAAAACGTAGGAAGTATTATACATGTTTACGTACCTTATAAATGGACTCCGACTTAACTCCATTTAAATTTGGTGATGAGGCAATAATCTCCTGTTCTCGAAGAGTCTTCTCTTTATCACTTATCTAAAAAAAATATATTTTAAGCTGTTGTAAATATCTGAAGTCCTCATTCAGATTCAATAAAATCATTTCCCATTTTAATGCACACTGTATACTTATATTAAAAACTGTAAAACCTTGATATCGTAAATCAGTTCTAACATCTCTGAATCATTATCATTAGCGAAGACAAAAGAGAGAATAAAATCTAAATTCAAAATTCTTTCAAATTTTAACTCTGTTAATTTCTAAAGGTATACCTCAAAAGAACAGTAGCAGACAAAGAGAAAATATTTTAATGAGAAAAAGGAAAAAACTTAGCATAAAAACTCAGATTAATGTAGAATAAAAATGAGCATTATCCTTATTCGGGTTATGATAATTTATTAAAATATCCTAATTGAGGTTAGAGTGCTTCAACTATTCCTCAATTTTCTAGCCACATAAGACAATTCTAAACTTAAAACACTTGTTTTTCTAGGAACAACTATAAATCTATTATTTCAGACTGCTTATGGCTTTACAAAAGATTGATAGATCTGACTAGTAAAAACGTTAAACTTCTATACCAAAACATATTTCTGTAAATGAAGATGAAATATAAGTGACAAACTGAGGGAAATATTTACATCATTTGATATGAGTTAGCGTCAGTAAACTCCTAGTTGGCCATATATAAGTATTAAAACATGAACAGCCAATAGTTATATAAGTAAAAATAATGAATGCTAAATTAAAATAATAATGTGTAGTATTTTCTACCTATCAAAATGGTAAAAATTAAAAAGATTTAGAATATGCAGTGTTAGGACAATCTTTGTGTACCAACACTTTGATAATATATATCAAACAGCCTTTAAAAATTCAGGTTGGGGGGCCGGCACGGTGGCTAACATCTGTAATCCCAGCACTTTGGGAGGCCGAGGCAGGTGGATCATGAGGTCAGGTGTTCAAGACCAAACTGGCCAACATTGTGAAACCCCACCTCTACTAAAAAACACAAAAATTAGCTGGGCATAGTGGCTCATGCCTGTAATCCCAGCTACTTGGGAGGCTGAGGCAGGAGAACTTCTTGAACCATGATCCACAAGGCGGAGGTTGCAGTGAGCCAAGATTGTGCCACTGCACTCCAACCTGAGCTACAGAGCAAGAATCCATCTCAAAAAAAAAAAAAAAAAAATGCAGGTTATAACAATTTATTTCCAGATTGATCACAAATAAATAACAGGACAAGCACACAAATACAAACATTTCATTACAGTGTTATTTACAATAAAGAAAAATACTAAATGTCCAACATGTATCTAGTTAAATAAACTGCAGCAGAACTTGCTGTTTCAGTAAAGCAGGCTGTATTATTCAGGCCAACCTCTTAGAGAAAACAAAACAAAACACTGATACATTTTTAAAAACATCTTTACAACACGGAAAGTTAATATACAAAGTCAGGCCCTCATAAAGTGGGATATCTCACAAGAGACCTTCCCGCTCAAATGATGTAGGATATCAGGGAATCTCAAGCCTTAAACTTGTTTTAAGGTGGTATCTGATTAAAATGCCCAGGCACCTCGCAAAAGCAAACTCAAATCCTCTCTGGAGGAGCCTTCACACTATGCCTCAAAGTATTCCTACAGATAAATTTTCAAATACAATGTCAAGCACACTATTTTATAACAAGGTGTATAATAAAACTATACTTTATGAACAAAAACAATAGAGAACTCACAAAGTATACAGATAACTATGCTACCATGTGTACAGAAATAAAAGACAAGCAAAATCTATATGAAGTAGAAACTATAAAAAGTGATTTTTATTTATTTATTTTTTTTTTTAAAGAAAAAGGCTGGGCATGGTGGCTCACATCTGTAATCCCAGCACTTCTGGAGGCCAAGGTGGGAGTATCACTTGAGTCCAGAAGTTTGAGACCAGACTGGGCAACACAGTGAGACCCCATCTCTACAAAAAAAATTTTTAAATTAGCTGGATGTGGCTGTGCACACTTGTAATCTCAGCTACTTGGGAGGCTGAGATGGGAAAACTGTTTGAGCCCAGGAGTTAAAGGCTGCAGTAAGCTATGATCACATTACTGCAGTCCAGTCTGGATGGTACAGAGAAAAAGAAAAGAAAGATGAAAGAAGAAAGAAGGAAGAATGAAGAAGGAAGGAAGGAGGGAGGGAAGGAGGGAGGGAGGGAGGGAGAAAGAGAGGAAGGAAGGAAGGAAGGGAGGGAGGGAGGGAGGGAGGAGAGAAAGAAAGAAAGAAAAAAGAGAGAAAAGAAAGAAAAGGAAGGAAGGAAGGAAGGAAGGAGAGAGAGAGAGAAAGAAAGAAAAA